TGGACTTGCAGTGGGAGACTGCAAGTCACAGCCCCTAAAAAATACGGCCAATGACAGCTGGGAGGCTGCGGAGGCAGTGAAGGAGAGAAGAATCAAAGTGTATGAAATGGTCTGCTAAAGGGGGAAGGAAAAAAAATGCCATGGAAGTTGCGCCGCCTTGACGCAGTGGTGCAATATCCCGTTAACACCACTGGCGCAAAATACCACATCAGCCGCAGTGAGAGTTGCTTCGCCTGCGCAACAGGAAACCAAATTCAGCAGCCCAATGATGAGATGTCACCTCCAACTCCCTTCGCAGCACCAGCAAGCGGCGGGCACAGGCGGTGGAGGACGCTCGGACGAGTGTGAGACGGCAGTTGCATCCGCATAAATGGCAATCGCAGTCTGTAGTGCCACGGAGAAGCAGTGGGTGCGCATCAGCGTCGTTGTCTTCCTCTTTTCTCTTTCCCCCCCCCCCCCTTGAAGACGCATGGTGGCCGTGGCAGACGCAACAGCACGTCAGCAAGCAAATGCGTGTTTCGTTTGCTGCCTCGCTTTTCTCTCGCACTGCCGTCCGGCCCACTCAGCTCCATCCCAGTCCTTTTGCGGGGCTTCTTCAAACAAAGTTGTCTTTACTGCCGTTAGAGCGTGCTCGCTGCATATTCGCAGTCTTTTGTTGTTGTTATTATTTTCCGGCAGCACTCTCTCGCTGTCTTAACTCGCCTCCCTCACACCATTGAAAGAAGCACGCCCGTTCAGTATTTGGCTTCGCGTACACACACACACACACATACTTGCAAGCGTGGCGCGCTAAAGGGCACAACGCGCAGAGATACAGGCATCCATCTCCTCCTGCATCTAGTGTCGCTGCAACGCACTTCCCACGCCAACGGCATGCGCTTGAGTGGTTGTCAGGGAAACGGACAGCGACGTCGATGCAAAAAAAAAAGACGTACGCTTCCCGCATGCAACGCCAGCGACACCGCAGGCCAAACGCCTGCACGGTGGCACTAAGCGGCCCCGCCACAAGTGGTTTTATGCTTTCATCCCAGCCAGCAAAAAAAGGAAACAAAAAAACACACAAGCACATTCCATGCGTGAACCACATTCGGGTCGGCTTGTGGCTCCCAGCAAGACGGTGCCGATGGCCAGAGCCACTACTGCTACCCACATGGCCGTGCGATGCCGCGCACGGTCAATGCGCTCCATCACTCTTGCACTAGGAGCACTGGGTTGGGTCTGGATCTCACACCATGAACTGCAGACCCGCGGTGTGACAGACACGGGCCCCGAGGCGATGAAGTGGACGGCATGTCTAGACGCGTTACTATTACCGCAACTGGAGGAAGCCAGTTTGCACGCAACGATGGCTGTCGTCGCAAGGTGCCGTAGTGTTCGCCATGAAAGAGGAGCATGAACAGAGCAAGTCCACATCAACGTGCATGATAGCTTCTTCCCCACTGTGACCGGCAACTCAACTCATTACTATTCACTCGCTTCCTCCAGTCTCCATGAATACTGCGCCGCAGAGTCAGGTTTTCGCCCGCAGAGCTGCGAAGCGACGACTGGTGTTCCTCGTCAAAACCATTGTAGTGAGATCATCGCGTAGATTTTATTAACACACGCTCTTCCATACGCAAAGACGCCCCTCAAAGGATTTAAAAACAAAAACAACTACAGTACAATTCGTTGCCGCGTCGCTTGCGTCCTGCCTCGTCGGTGCTGCAGCTTCTTCTCCGGGCACATCCAGCTTTGCATTCACCATGCACAGCCACCCACACATGAAGGGCTCAGAGATGGTCCGGCCAAACTCCTCACATGTCACCGATACCCCGCTTTGCATTTTTCTTCTGCCGCCAGGCACTGTCGCCAA